GGGCTCCAGGAGAAGAGGAAAGTAGAGCAGCTGCAGCACAGCCTGGAGCTGGCTTTCCATCACCATCTCTACAAGACCCACCGCCAAGGCATCCTGGCCAAGGTAAGAGCGGAGCCTGAGGGGCTCTGTGGGGACAGCGTGTTAGAGAGCTCGCGGCAGCTCAGGAAACAAGGGGACGGCGGTGGCTTCCATGGACGTACAGATGGAACAGGAGAGCCCGGGGCCGGAGGGACCTCCAGCAACAGTTCAGTGTGACAGAGCCGCCGCCCACCCAGCACTTGCTTGTGCAAGGCACCACAGGACGGAGGCTACAGAGAAGTGATCGGTGCCCCCAGCGAGGGTTTGTAGTGTGGTGCGCAGGGACCCGCACTGGTGCTCTGATACAAAGCAACGTGCGATACGTGAGACTGTAGTAGCACGATTAACAGGTGCTGTCACAGACATGCTGTCGTCCTCAGGGCAACTCAGCCAATAGGACAGGTATTCAAATGTCCCTTTAGCAGTGAGGAGACTTAAGCGACTTGCATGACTGGTGAGTAGCAAATGCAAGATTTAACCCCAGTGCTCTCCCACTACGTCCCTACACCCCTGATAGGTTACTTCGGTGAGAGATATTGGGGAAATGTGATGAGCACAGAACAGGGATTAAAAGTAACTTGGGGTAAAAGGAGTGGGTCATCAATGCTTCCTAGGGAAGGTGGCGCTTAAGGTAGGCTATGAAGTAGGACAGATTTTAACAGACATCCGTGGTGGTGGGACAGGCATTCCAGGCTACGGGAACAATGCCCGCAAAAATAAGGAGGCAAAAGAGTACATATACGGGGAACGGCTCACAGTACATTTTGCCTCAAGCAGAAGATTGGGAGCTGGCATTGATCAGTGAGGGCGGGAAGTAGCAGAGGACGAGAAGAAGCTGGAAATCAGGTCAGGTAGCATCAGAGAGGGCCTTCAGGGCCATATTAAGGAACGAAGGCTGGATTCCAGGCAATGGAGAGCCCTGAAGGCTGGAGGCATGATCTCATCAGAGCTGTTATTTAGGCAATTTAATTTGGAATCCGTGTAAAAGAACCATTTATGTAATCGTCCAAGCAATGGACCCTTGCTCTGTGCCAGGCACAGTGAGTGCCAGGTGCCAGTATACAGAACCGACTTACACAAGGGGGCCAGGCCCTGAAGAACTTCAAGTGCGGTCGGACAGGCTGCAAGGAGAAGCTGACTGGGCCCTAGGAGGGCAGGTGGGAAGCAGATCTGGCCCCACCTTCAGAATACTCCCCTCTACTATCATCCTACCTCCCCAGCTGTCAGTTCTCCCTTACAGAGACCCCTGCTCCTCCCTCCCCTGCCCTGCACTGACCACCCATCCTGCTGAGACAACTCCAGAGTCTGTCGTGGCCACTGGCCGCACACACGATATGACCTTGAATGTCTCTCACCTCCTCTCCTCTCACTGCCCTCTCTGTCGCCTATGCCAGCAGCCCTGGCCTCCTTGCCATTCCTTCAACACGGCGCACACAGCTGCACCTCAGCGTTTTTGTATCTGTTGTTCCTGCTATCTGGAAGGTTCCTCCCCTAGTTTCCCAAATGGCTCGTCCCATCCCTTCAACCTGGAGAGGTTTTCTGATGCAGAAAGTCCTCCACACCTCACCCTGCATTACCGTCCTTTAAGAAATTCTCAGACAATATTATACATTGGTTTATTTTTTGCCTCCCTCACTAGAATATGCATTGAATGATGAAGCTGGATATTTTATTCTATTTTATTTTATCCACTGATCTATCACCACAGCCCATCACAGTGCCAGGCTGAGTAGGTTCTCAACAAACATTTATTGGGTGGATGGATGAATGGATGGATGGATGGACGGACGGACAGATGGGGCTATTGCGATAGTCCAGGCAAATGCAAAGTGAAGCAGTAGAAATGAAAAGAGGATGAATCTGAGACATCAAGGGACTCATGCTGCCCGGTCCTGACAGAGCAGTGTTTTCAAGCCTACTTTGATTATACAGGAAGCTGCAGACGATGAATGGCTTTCTCAGCCTTTCTTCAGTAAGAAGAAACCCCTCTGGCTGAGTATTCGTAGTGTTGGGTACCTGCTTCAGAACTATAGTTCAAACAGTTGTAGAGTGATTGACATGTGCCAAGCGCGGGAGCAGAAGGTACAGAGAGAGAGGGAGACAGGGAGAAAACCTGCCTCAGATGAAACCTAGGGTGGGAAGGTGGGCAAATGAGGCCATTTCCCTAAAATCAGGGGTAAGTACTACCACACAGAGAGAAGCCCAAAGGAAAGACCCTTAATCCAGAGGGGGGAGGGGTAGTTAGCAAAGAAGAACTGGAAAGGCATTCCAGGTGAGAACAGCATCAACGAGGCCAAGAGGCCAGGGACAGCATATACCGGAGTCGTGGGCCTAACCAACATACGAGCAAAAAGTGTGGGTTAGAGTGTTCACCAGGTGAGTCACAGGAGCGTGCTGGGGCTCTCCCAGAAAACGCACACCTGTCCTGCAGCGACCTTCACCTGCCTCAGCTCCCCAAACACAGACTCCCCTGTGATGGGATCTAATCTGGCCCCTCCTCCAGTGCCAAGTGCAGAGCACTTGGAGGAAGCAAGAGGGTTGCCCTAGCCCGGGAAGGCCGAGGCACCTTGGCCCTGGGGGAAGGCTGGCGTGCTGACCCTCCCTTAACCCATGTCCAGCTGCCGCCCAAGGGGAAGCTTCGGAGCCTGTGTAGCCAGCACGTGGAAAAGCTGCGAACCTTCCAGCACCTGCACCCCATCGTGGTCCAAGCCGCGTTCCCTCCGCTCTATAAGGAACTCTTCAGCACCGAAGTCGAGTCATCGGAGGGGCTGTCCGAGTGACTGGGAGGAGGGACTCCTTCCCTTCTCTAGAGCCTGCTGGCCCTCCCCCCGACCCCCCTCCTACCCTCACCTTTCTCTTTCTCGTGCCCCCAGAGGGTGGACCCTGCCTGTTCGTTGGGGGTGAGCAGCCGCCGAGACTGGTTTTCTGCCTGCAGGCTTGTCTGGCAGTGGGCCAGAGCCAGAGTGGGTGGGGACGAGGGGACAGCCTCTCCAGCCTCAGCCTGGCTGCGTCTCCTTTACCACGACCCTTCACCCCCGGCTTCTGAGAGCTCCAGGGTGGCACATAAGGACCTCTAGGAGGACCGTGGTGTCCGCCGGACGCCGGGGGGGCTGGGGCACCCTGGACGAACGGAACTCAACGCTGGGCTCAGAAGCTAAGAACAGGACTCTGAGATACCTCATTGCATTTCCCTGTGGGCTCTGGCTGGGGAGATGTGTCAAGCTCAGAGACTGGCGGCTGGAGCCCGGAGGACCTGTATATAACATGAACCCGGATCAGATTTGCTGCCTTCCCTCTTCCTCTCAGCTCAGCCAGGAAGTGGTTGGGTACACTTCCCTTTTCCCAGGGTCTAAAAAAAACTGGATATGTAGAGGGTAAGGATGGGATGGGGGTCAGGGGCTGGGACAGTCTTTTATGGGATTTAGGTATAGGGATGGGGTACAATGGGGGCCAAGAGCATCACAGATGAGTCACAACTCAACCCTCTTACATGCACTTTAGAAATAGACACCAACCTAGTGAGAGACACACATCCACACACAGGTGAAACACACACTCACAAACTCAGCCTGCAGTACGCACCTCTGTAGGCACATTTACTCTGCCAGTCCTCTGCCTATCCGGAGGTCACAGCTCAGAGGTGCTTAGTGGCCTCGGGGGAAATGTCCCCATCCTGAGGGACCCAGAACATTTTCATGGTGCTCCATTCCACCAACCTTAGACCTGAGGAGCCTCAACTCCGCCCCAGCCCCAGCTGTCTTCTAGCACAAGAAACCCCAGGAGAAGGAGAGATGGCTGGGTGCTGGTCCGTCAGATGGCCCCAGACAGACCCTCGGAGTCCTGCTGCCGTGATGGAGAAAGGAAACAGTGATGGGGCCCCACTAGCACTAGCAGGGAGGAGTCCAGGGAACAGGGCAGGCACCTGCTTCTCCGGGGCTGGAACTTCTCTTGCTTGGCTTTACAAATGGCTGTGAGCCCCCCTCTGAGGGATAAACAGCAGATGAGCGGGGGGGGGGGGTCTTCTCAGGGGAGGGGTTTAGTAGGCTAGACATAAACCCCAACTTGTGCTATTCTTTATAAAATTATGTTAAAGGCCAGAGGCATGTGTGGCAGGGGCCGGGGGCAGGGGGAGGGTCTTAAATCAGACTACTGACCAGCTGCTCTCTGCTGTCTCTCTCCTGCTGTGTGGAGACCCAGGTTTCCAGCCCAGCAACCCATGAGCATTGAAAGGATTGCAGCTCCCACTCTGAACAGCCCCCCAGGGAGGCTTGGGAGCTGCTCCTCGGGAACCCCCTCCCCAGGAGGAATCTCAAACTAAGCCCCACGACAGATGTCCTGGACGGAGAACTTTCCCCACAAAATGATACCCAGGGGGACGTTTAGATTGAAAGGCTGTACAGAATCGCCCCGCATCTGGGAGACTAAGAGCCCCCCGAGGAAGGTGCTAGCCCCCAGAGCTCCCCAGAGGGGAGTCAGGGTGCCCACCAGAGACCCTTGTGGGGCTGCTGGCTACCTCCACTTCCCGACCCCTCCCAGACCCTAAGTCCCTGTCTGTGGCCCCCCCAGTCCCATAGTGGCACTAGCTGCAGTCCTCCCTGGCCTCCCGAACCCCGAGTCCCCGTCCGTGCTCCCCCTTCCCCATCCATGCCGCGAGTGGCGCTAGCTGCAGCCCTCCCCCGGCAGCTTTATTTATTTATTTTGCACCAACAGGGTTGCTGCAGACTCATTCTCGCCTGGTTTAAAAAGAGAGAGAGGAAAAAAAAAAAGGAGAAATGCTTTCTGGCTCTTTTCTCTACCTCGGTCTTGGCAGCAGTGGCCACAGCAGCAACAGCAGCCCCAGCGGGCGGGTGGGAGGGCGGCGGGCAGAGAGGGGAGCCGGGGGGCAGCCGGGCACTGGCGGTGCCGGCCGCGGTGCCGCTTGAATGGGGCGGCCCCCAGCCCTGGCCAGAGGCCGCGTCCAACTCGATGCCGCCCTCCAGCTTCCCGGGTAAGTGCCCCCACCTCCTGTCCCAAAGCTACAGCTGCCCTTCTCTACAACATTCTCAGGGACAAGGCCAGACACGGCGTCGCTTTCAGACTAAGGGGCTTGTGCCCCTCCTGCCCCCCCCCTCCGCCCCCAACCAGCCATTGATCCTGGCCCCACGGGACTTTGGTGGGAAACTGACACGTCCCAGACACCCCACAGGGAAGGACTCTAAAGAGACCTCCCTCCATCTCCCCAGCACCTCTTCTACCTCTGGGAAGGGTTTCTCCACAACCAGGGTGGAAATGCCAGAAATCTTTCCCCTGAGAGCCCCCTCCCCACGCAAGCCCCCACGCCTCCTGTCAGGTCTACTCCAAAGGTTCAGCTGTGTCTCTGGACTGCCACACAGAGACGCAGAGAAGAAAGCTTCCTATTCCTTGAGGGCATGATGCCCCAGACCCCACCCCATTCAAAGACAGAAGTGGTTCTGACACCCATTTCTTCCTGCAAAGTGGCTGGAAGCCAGGCTTGTAGCCATGGAGACTGGCGAGGGAAGTTTGTGATTAAATTAGCCACGTTATAAATAAAGCAAAGGGGCTGTCCCCAGACCCCCCAGCCACTGGGCCCGCAGGGGCTGGGAGGAAACTCACCAAAGGCTTTGGGGACTGGGAGGAAACTCACCGGAGGGGGAGGGAGGGAAGCGGGGCTACACGCCTCAGTGCACTTTTGCTGAATGCAGAGCAGAAGGGATGGGCAGGAACTGCAGCAGTAGTGATAAAGAGCTAGCTGTCGGGTGGACTTCCCAGAACAGGCATCGTGACACCGAGGGAGACTGGAGAACTCTCAGCATGCCCCAGATGCCTGCTAGGCTGGGCTGGGGACGGTGGGCGAGGAGCCTGGTGGGCGGTGAGCCTGGTGGGCGGCCTCTCTCATTCAAAGCCTCAAGATGGGGTCCTACATCCCTCTGCTCTCCTGGCCTCTGCTCTCCAGTTTCCCACAAGTACAGCATGAGAGCTACCTTCTAGAGGAGGGGTGCAGAGCCTCGCTCCAATCAGGACCCGGGGACAGGATCCCCCCAAATGGGAATAAGTCACACCATCTCTTAAACTGCCCCTCCTAAGTTCTGCGTGGGAAAAAATGGGGCATGTGACAGAAGGCTGACCCTTCAGGGCTCAGACACCCTGAAGCCCCAAAGGCCATCTGGATCTGCAGCCAGAAAGAAACCCCGGGGTCCCACCGCCCAGGGAGCATCACCTGTCTCTGGTCCCCTCTCTTTAGCCCTCCCTTGCCAATTCCAACACCTCCCCTCCGTTCAATGCCCTGTTGACATTGAACAGGCTAAGCCGAGGGGGAGTCCACCACCTACGGGACCCCTTCTCCTCTGTCACCTCAATCAGTCCCCAGTGGCCATCATACCCACCATCATCTGATTCTGCCCAGGCCCTCGGTTCCCACAAACCCAGTTGCAGTCTACATGCCACACACATAGGCTGTGCCCAGAGATCGGCTGTGCCAGCCAAGGGCACTCTTGCCCTCCGCCACAGCATCTGGCCAAGCACTGTCTCTCCTCACCTGTCTGTGCCTCCTTGGCTCACACTCCATCTCCTGTGGGTTGTTCACGCAGCTGAGTCCACAGGAGACAAGACATTTCCCTCAGATCCACACACTGGACCAGACACCATTGCGGAGGGATGTAACAGAGCCTGAGACTGAGGACCAAGCAACAAATCCAAACGCTGGACAGGCCTCGGGTCCCTCACACACCACAGTGTCATGTATAGGGGCTGCTCGTAGGGCTCTCATGAGGGACTCAGGTGCCCCCTGCAGCCTGTGCCACGGCTAACGTGCAGCTTGGCTGGCACCCACACAGGCATTCAGGGAGGGTGGGGCTGGCTAATTCAGAGCCCTGGGCCCTGGGCCAGGCTCGAGAGGGGCAGGGGGCAGTGGGTGGAGTTTAGAGGAGCAGAGCTGAGCATGTTTCCAGACTTGCAGGATTTGGTCAAGGCGAGGACCTTGCTCCAATCAGAACCCAAGCACGTGACTCCCCCTGAGCTGTGGACAGAGAGACAAAGCCATGGATGGATAACATGGGAAGACAGGGTGGCCAGAGGGGGGAGGGCAGAGCCTGGGGAGAAGGGACCTGATCTGGGAGACCCAGGAAAACAGGGAGACTCCAGATTACTTCCCCACTTCCTGTCCCTTCACATAAAACTCTTCCCTCTGAAGTCAGGCCTCACTCGCATTCTGTTCCGCGAGCCAGTAAACACGTGGCCTATTACCCAGGGCTGGGAGAGGGAGAGACGGAAGGCTTCCCCAGAGAGGAGGCCCAGGAGTCCCCAGGGAGGGAGTCCACCAGAGGTGTTCCTGGGTCCACCCTACATGCTGGCGATGCTGAGACAGTAGCTCAGTGTCTCTTTCCTCTGAGGAGGCCCGGGGAGGCCCAGGGTCACCATCCTCCGAGGTCACTTCCCACCAAGGACCGTGTCATCATCTATTCCAGGACTGAAGATGGGACGGCTATGGGTAGAGCTGCAAAGCAGGCCTGGCCCCCATGGGCCCCTGTCCTGTTCCTGCTCCTCCTGTCTGCAGGGAGCAGTGGCGGGTGCCCTCCTGTGTGTGACTGCACCTCCCAGACACACACAGTGCTCTGCCCCCTCCGGCGACTGGAGGCTGTGCCTGGGGGACTGCCACCGGACACTGAGCTCCTGGACCTGAGTGGGAATCGCCTGTGGGGGCTACAACGGGGAATGCTCTCCCGCCTGGGCCTGCTCCGGGAACTGGACCTCAGCTACAACCAGCTGTCCACCCTGGAGCCTGGAGCCTTCTACGGCCTCCAGAGCCTACTCACCCTGAGGCTGCAGGGCAACCGGCTGCGGATCCTGGGGCCCGGCGTGTTTTCGGGCCTGCCTGCCCTCACACTGCTCGATCTCCGCCTCAACCAGATTGTCCTCTTCCTGGACGGCACCTTTGCAGAGCTGGGCAGCCTCCAACAGCTGGAGGTGGGGGACAACCATCTGGTGTTCGTGTCGCCGGGGGCCTTCGCGGGCCTGGCCCGCCTGAGCGCCCTCACGCTGGAGCGCTGCAATCTGAGCTCGGTGCCCGGCCTGGCCCTGGCCCGCCTCCCGGCACTAGGAGCCCTGCGGCTCCGGGAGCTGGACATCGGGAGGCTGCCAGCAGGGGCACTACGGGGCCTGGGGCAGCTGAAGGAGCTGGAGATCCACTCCTGGCCGGCTCTGGAGGCTCTGGAGCCCGGGAGCCTGGCGGGGCTCAACCTCAGTAGCCTGGCCGTCACCCACTGCAACCTGAGCGCGGTGCCCTTCCAGGCCCTCCACCACCTGAGCTTCCTCCGGGTCCTGGATCTGTCTCAGAACCCCATCTCGGCCATCCCCGCGCGAGGCCTCAGCCCACTGGTGCGGCTGCAGGAGCTCCGGCTGGCGGGGGCGTGCCTCACGTCCATCGCCGCCCACGCCTTCCACGGCCTGGCCGCCTTCCACCTGCTGGACGTGGCCGATAACGCCCTTCAGACACTGGAGGAAACAGCCTTCCCTTCTCCCGACAAACTAGTCACCCTGCGGCTGTCGGGCAACCCCCTGACCTGCGACTGCCGCCTCCTCTGGCTGCTGCGACTGCGCAGCCGCCTGGACTTCGGCGCATCGCCCCCGGCCTGTGCTGGTCCCCGGCCCGTGCAGGGGAAGAACCTGAGGGAGTTCTCAGACATCCTGCCTCCGGGACACTTCACCTGCCAACCAGCCCTGATCCGGAAGTCAGGGCCACGGTGGGTCATTGCAGAGGAAGGGGGGCGTGCCGTGTTCTCCTGCTCCGGGGACGGGGACCCAGCCCCCACAGTGTCCTGGGTGAGGCCTCAGGGGCCTCGGCTGGGAAAGGCCGGGCGGGTGAGGGTCCTGGAGGACGGCACGCTGGAGATCCGCTCGGTGCAGCTGCAGGACCGGGGAGCCTACGTCTGTGTGGTCAGCAACGTTGCTGGGAACGACTCCCTGAGGACCTGGCTGGAAGTCGTCCAAGTTGAACCACCAAACGGCACTTTCTCCGACCCCAACATCACCATGCCCGGGATCCCAGGGCCCTTCTTCCTGGATAGCAGAGGTGTGGCTATGGTGTTGGCAGTTGGCTTCCTCCCCTTCCTCACCTCAGTTACCCTCTGCTTTGGCCTCATTGCCCTCTGGAGCAAGGGCAAAGGCCGGGTCAAACATCACATGACCTTTGATTTTGTGGCACCCCGGCCCTCTGGGGATAAGAACTCTGGGGGTAACCGGGTCACCGCCAAGCTCTTCTGACCCTTAACTTCCACACTGGGGTCCACCCAAGCCAGCTTTGGATACCAAAAGGAAAGAAGACCAAGGTTGCCTGGACCAGAACCTAGGACCACCCCTGACTGCATCGTGCCAGCGACTAATGACGCCTCCCATTAGAGTCTGCCTCCTGCTTCTGAAGTTTGAGGATGGGAGCAGAAGATGTAGACCTGTCATCAGTCAGCCTAGCCCTCCCCAACCCCTACCCCCCAGCAGGAAACATCCCCATGACTCCAGTCTACTTGCCCACACACACTTACACCCTCTAACCAATGCCAACTGCCAACCACAGCTACCAGATTACTGCAGAGGGGAGGCCAGGCAGTGCCGCCTGCTTCTCACCCACGCAGTCTCCTCTCCTCTCTGGTCTGTCCCCTCCCCAGGTGAAAGGAGCTAGGGCCAAGGACCTGAGGCTAAGAAGGTGTGAGTGTGCGCGGGGGAGGGGCAGACTACACACTGGCGCTGTGTCTGCATGAGCCTCCAGCACCTGCTCCATCTGTCACATCATTAAACTGGCTGCCAAAAGGCCACGACAGTAGCAGCCTAAACTAAACGTGGTATCCGGAGTTTTCTCTACTTCACTCTTCCTCTCCCCTCATCTTCGCCAAATCTCTCCCCTCCTACCCTCTTCTGCCTGCCCACTGAGCATGTGTCCCAGCGGCATCCCTGGCATGCAAGCTTAACACCAAAGGAGGCCCAGAGATGTTCTGGAGGGACTCAGGCTGTTTCAGTTTCAGCCCTGGAGCTGGAGAAGGAGAGGTCCTCCACCTTCTAGGGGTCCCTCTGAAGAAATTCCAGCCTAGGGTACCCAGCTCCTTCCCTCCTTTTCATCCCTCTTGGGATCTCCCTAATGCCCTGGAGGGAAAGCACCAAAGGAACTCCTAGAAAATGCCTAACAAAAAACACGTATCTGCAGTTGTCCCAGAAGGGATCCAGAAGCCAGCGGGACCAGGCTTGGAGGAAAGGGCAAGAAGGGCGCCGCACCCTGCACCCCGTAGGGAAAGCGGAGGGAAGAGGCAGCAGCAGGATCTGGCTGCCTCTCTGCAGGGGCCCCTTGTTCCTCGTCCAGTGCAGCCCCAGTGGGGAGCTGTCTCTGGATGGAGGTCACCGGCTAACGGAGACCCAGATGCAGAGGCAGGCTGAGAGGAGCCGCTGCCTGCCTCTGAGCACACTTCAACTAGAAGGCTCAGCTGAGCCAGGGAAAGGGAGAGAATCAAGAGGCAGCAGCTTCAGCATCTCAGGAGGGGAGGGATGAAGGGAGAGGAGGGGCAGGCAGGAAGGACTGAGAAGTGGGGAGTCACGCGGCCCTAGGGAGCCTCTCTCTGCAGCAGCATCTGCTCAGTGTCCTTAGCTCCCCTCCACCCTCAAGGGCCCCCACCCCTCAATGTGCAAGCATCATGAGCTTCCTGGCGCCTCCTGCTGCTCGTCCTTGCTCTGAGGAGACTCTACTCATTAGAAGATTCCCAGCTCAAACTGTCCCTGGCAGGCGCCACCCAGGCGGCAGCCACACTTGACGAGCAGGCAAGCCCTTCAGTGGGGCCCTGGTGGGGCTATGGGGCGGGCCAGAGAGGAGAACAGGAGGCTGGGAGGGCGAGGCTGGAGAAGCCAACAGTCTTTTTTTTTTTTTAATTTTTATAATGTTTTTACTTATTTCTAGGAGAGAGAGAGAGAGACAGCGTGAGCAGGGGAGGGTCAGAGAGAGAGGGAGTCACAGACTCTGAAACAGGCTCCAGGCTCTGAGCTGGCAGTCAGCACAGAGCCCGATGCGGGGCTCGAACCCACGAAGCGCGAGATCATGACCCAAGCGAAAGTCGGACGCTTAACCGACTAAGCCACCCAGGCTCCCCGAGAAGCCAACAATCTTGAGGAAAGGGTATCCCTGAGCTTCCGACCCTGCCACCCCCGCACGCACTCACGATGCTCTCAGCGGCCTGACAGCCTCCCCATCCCCAGTTTACAAGGGACCCGCTGCCCCCAACCCCCACACAGCCCTTTCTCTCCTCTCCAAAACCTTCCACCCGTGGCTTACTAGGTTGGGACCTGGGGGCCAAGTACTAGAGGTTCTCACTCTGGGTGCCCACTCTGCAATGTGGATGCCAGCAGAGGCCGCCTTATGGTGCAGACAAAGCTCTGGAAGCCCCTGGAGGCAGTGGGGCACAGCTGACATGCGGGGCAGGGGACGCAGGGGTCCCAAAGTCTCTGAGCTGCACCGCCCAGGAGAAATCAGTGAGGCACCCACGTCACCTCACATTTTCTAGTATCACATTTAAAAAGCAAAGAAACCCAGATACAATTAATTTTGATACTATGTTTTATTTAACCCCAGGTACTCAAGCTATTCTCATTTCAGCATGTTATCAGTATGAAAATTAGTAATGAACAATTTTACATTATTTTTTCATATGCGGTCTCTGAAATCCAGTGTATAGCACACCGCACCGAATTTTCACCAGAAAGATCTGATCTGTTCTTAGGTTTCATAAAATTCATCACTGAAAAAGTAGGTTCACGTATTCCTGTTGTTCCAAACATGTTAAACGTGTTCCACTGAGTCGTCAGTTTTACCATTTCAATTAACTTAGTTAAAATGAAATATACTTAAAATCCCACTCCTCGGGGGCACCAGCCATCTTTCGAGTGCTCAAAAGCCACACATGGCCAGTGCCACTCCACCAGACAACAGGGCTGCAGACACCACACCTCTGGGCTCTGACGGGGCCTTCTCGGGGGAGGTGGGCGTGACGCCCTCGAGAAGCACACTACCCCTGGGGAAATGCCTGCGGACTCACCCCCAACTCCCAGCCCCTATCTTCCTTACACGGTTTTTCCTAAAGCCTTTTGATGTGACCAGGCCACTGTGATGGGCATCTCCACAGCTCGGCCAGTCATCAGCAAGCCAGGCCCCTATGTGACTTGCGGGGGAAGGCCGCCCTCAGCCAGGTGCGACTGTACAGGCTGGGGGGGGTGTGGGTGTGTGTGCGTGCGCGCGTGTGCGTGTGCCCGTGTGCGTGTGCCCACTCGCAGTCTACACTGGGGAGGAAGCCAGCAGAGGCTCTCCCCAGGTTGCTACAGGAGTGGAGAGAGAAGACATTATCCAGAGCCTATGCTATGTCGGGGGCTTTCTGTTTGTTTTCTTATTTAATCCTTACGTGAACCCTGTAAACACAGGGCATCTTAACTGGTGCCAATGAAGGTCAAATAGATTCAGTTGCTTGAGGACGCGCAGCTAGTTAGTGAGGGGGCTGCGCTTGAACTCGGGGCTGTCAGACTCAAAACCCAAAGGCCTGGTACCTGGGTGGCTCAGTCAGTTAAGTGTCCGACTGCGGCTCAGGTCATGATCTCATTGCTCGTGGGGTTGAGCCCCGCATCAGGCTCTGTGCTTCAGATTCTGTCTCCATCTCTCTGCCCTTCCTCTGCTCACACTCTCTCTCTCTCTCAACTATAAAACATTTAAAAATTTAATTAAATTAAAAACCCAAACGCCTTCCACCAAGGGTGCTGCTCCAGTCACCGCCTGCTCTCTGGGCCCCTCCGCAGGGCCTCTCAGCCACGGGGCCTGATCCAGGTGCTCTTCCCACCCATCGCTCTGAACAAGCCCCTTAGGGGGCCGAGGCTGGTGGCTGGTGGTCCCTTGCCTTCAGGAACCTTCAGGAACCCTGCAGCACCTGAGTCGGGAGGCTGCGGGTTGTTGGCCTGGTGGTCACCCTTTCTTCTCAGTGTCCCCCGCAGCCGTCCTTGCTGCCTCTGCCCCAGGACTGGCAGGGAGGGGCAGCAACTGCAGGGACCACACAGACTGCACTGAACTCCTGGCTGCCAACAACAGGGCCTCGCGCCATCTGGGGCTTCACTTCCTAGGTCCCTTTCAGGGGTCCTAATCTCAGCAAGCTCTCAGGTCAGAGAGAGGCTGCTCAGGAATTTCTGGTATGGCAGAACAATGTCCGGGCTGTGTGCACTCTGCACTAGGGGAAGAATGTGCCTACATTCTGGCCACCCCTGCCTCACAGAACTTTCCTGAGGTCACCCGGGTCCTGCCCTCTCTACCCCCTCACTTCCATTTCAGATACAGTTGCACCTAAGCTGAGAGAAGCTTGGACCCCAACAATCTCTGGACATTTGGGCACTCCCCACCATTTCAGTACCTATTTTTTTTTAATGTTTATTTATTTTTGAGAGAGACAGTGTGTGAGCAGGGGAAGGGCAGAGAGACGGAGAACAGAATCTGAAGCAGGCTCCAGGCTGTCAGCACAGAGCCCAATGCTGGGCTTGAACCTGTGGACCGCGAGATGGTGACCTGAGCCGAAGTCAGGCGCTTAACTGACAAAGCCACCCAGGAGCCCTGGTCCCTGATATATTCTCATTTCTCTCTTTCCTTTGCTGTGCTGGATCCCTGATTTAAGGATGAAAGCCTTGCAAGCATTTTTGAGTCACAGACACCCCCCCCCCCCCAAGGGTGCCTTGTGAGAACTAAGAACAACAATGTGCATGGACTGTCCTCAGTCACCCTGAAGCCACTACAGACCCGATGGGATGCAGGCGAAGGAGCTCTACTGTGAGAAGCATCAAGTGGGGAGGCAAAGCGGAGCACTGCCTGCCCATAGTCTCCAGGGTCTGTCACACACAGGGAAAAAGGGCTAGGAAGGACTGTAGCACACAGGGCTAGGAAGGACTGTAGCACACAGCAGGTGTCAGCAAGGGTCAGAGCAGGTCACTACTGCCTCCAGCTTCTCCCCTCCCCTGCCCTGGTCCCCACACCAGCTTCCATCTCTGGGGGGGGGGGGAGGCAGGGGACTTCAGAGCTGGGGGGACTTTTGCTCAAAGAAGTGAGTGTGGTGGTGATTCAGGATGGACAGCCCTGGAGACTAGGGACTCCTGAGTCCCCTTCCTCCCAACTACTCTGTGAGGGGAGTGAGGTAGGAAGGCTAGAGCTGAGTGGTGGAGGCAAGAAGCAGCTCCCTCCCCTGGGACGCCCACCATGATCCATCAGTCTGATCTAAAGAGCAGCTCGCCAGCCAGCGTACCAGCTGATACTCAGGCCCACCCTCCCGGCTGCTGCTTTCTGATATAGAGCCTGGAGCCAGGGGGAAGTAACGGGTAACTCTTACAACAGGCAAATGAGAAATGAGTGCTGCTTCCCAAAAACCCAAACGGCTCAATGTTGCTTGACTGGACCGTTTGCCTGTTGTCCAGGAAGGGGATTCTGGGAGCAGAGAAGGCTTTGGAACCAGCCTACTGCCTCTGAGAAGCCTTCACTGCCTAGCCTTCTAGCTGAAGTCTGCTCTCTTGCTTGGCTTATTGAATGGAAACACCTGCCCAATGAATGCTCTGGAAAACACAGACCTTTAACTGGTATCACCTACTCCCACACCCTGTTCACAACACCCTTCACAGAAAGAAGACAGACTCTTCAGAATTGGAGATGAGAGCACAGAAATTGCAATTTACCCAATCTCATCCTCATAACACAATAGTTCAATCCTGACTTGGGCTTTTGGGGGCTGCGTGAGATGACCGATCCCAAATAAGATTGGAATCATCCCTTCTACTTCCCAACCT